AGTCTTCCTGTTTTTCAGGATGTCCTGCTGAGGTTTTTAGATACACAAGCTCCCTCACTGTGTGAGTATCAGCTCATGTATATTCCAAAGTAGGTCAGAAGCAACTGGTCTGCTGGCTGGCTGCTAAAGTTACTGGTTTGCTGTGGTGGGTGTGTCATGGTTTCTGAGATGACCTGCTCTGTTTTCATATGCACTTAAAAAAACCCCAACAAAATCTCCTGCCTTTTAATAGAATCTTTCTGTGGTTTTTTCTTTTCACAAAAGGATAATGGGCAGAAACTGTTTCTGCTTAAGCTGTAAGAGGTTTGGGGAAATTGCTTGCACTCTGTGCATATTTACCATCAAACACTCCCCTCTTTTTGAAATGCCCACATTCAAACTGGCTGACTTGGAAATTACACACAAGTAGTGAAGTCAAAAGCTTTTAGCTGACAAAGAGGTGGTTTGAAAAAAGGGGTTTCACTCATTGGTCTAATGAAACTGCCTGATGCTGTATCTTGTGTTCCTAATATTTTAAATACTCCTAGTTAGTGATTTTAGTTTTTTTCTGACACCCTTAGATTAAAGGGGATTTGGTGTGATTTGAAACATGGAACTGGAAACTCTCAGCATCCAAAAAAGGAGAAACTTCTTAAAAATATGTTACAAGCTCGGAGGTATTGGCAGTGCTTTGTTCTCATGCCAGTGGTGACCCTGGTTTTAATAAACCATCCAAACTATTCATGTTATTTCGACTTGTGTTTCTGGTGTGCTTGTTTTCCTTGTTTCTTTCTTTTAAAACACAACCTACAAAATTACTGGAGACGAGTCCACTGCTGGAGCCTGTCCCACGGGTGGAGCTGACAGCAAAGTGGGAACGTGCAAAGCAGGTGGGAGATGGTTCGTTCTGTGGAGACACAGAAACCTGTGCAGGATGCCTGAGATGTTTTCAGTAGGCCTGCAAAACCATTAGCTGGGGTTGGCAGTTTGGATAGTTGAAAGCCAAATATTTATAAGCTGAAAGTACAGCCTAACTTGTCTATTTATTTATTTATTTAGAGCAGCTGACCCAAATAGTGACCGTGAGAAGACAGAGTTTGTGAATTTGGTGCTGCTTTTTTCTGAGTTCACTTGGCACAACAGCTTCTCCCACGATGCCTACATGTGCACTTTGATATCCCGGGGGGGCAGTCACTGCCACCCCCAGACCACGCTGGCCAGTGGGGAGACTGTGGAGGAACACTATTCCAAGGGTCATGATGGGAAACTGGAGGTAACACTTGATGCTATTTCTCCCATGTTGGTACTTCGTTTCATTGCATGTAGATTTTCATCAAAGCATTAGTGTTTCAGATACGAGACACTAAGGTTTTCAGTCTGTGTCTCCTTCTCTCTTGCTCTCTCTTTGAGAAGACTGGAAGTGACCAGCTAACTTTGTTCTTGTGTGTAGCTGTTTTGGTGCAAATACACTGAATTGCCAGTGGTCTGGTGCTGTAAATGACTTGGGATGAGCAAAAGGCACAATGCAGACTTCTAAATGTTCCAGAGGGAAAACTTATTTGCAGGTCTTCTTCAGGGAAGAGAAGGGGGAGCTTTAGGCAGGAGGAGTCACTGAGGGGTCTTGGAGGAAGCCCCAGGTTCTGCCACAGGGCACAGCCTGGTCACCTGCCCAGGAGCCACCGTGTCCTGCATGGGCCCTGGCTGGGGACAGGGACCCAGCCCCGTGGCTGAGCGTGCACAGGCCAGGGGCAAACTGTCCCTGAGGAGCTTGTTGCCAACCAAAGCATCCTCTTGTCTTTCTGTTCAGTTCCTTTTGTGTGTTTCCTGCCTCTGCCTCGTGGCCAAACTTTTCCTGAAGTGTATGGCATTACAGGGGGTTTCTGCAAGTTGCCTTTTGTGGTACAACAAAGAAGGAGATAAACCCTGGGAAGATTCATCTTCCTGTTCTGTAGGTGTCCCCAGAGCTGGCCTTTTTGGGGGGGTATCCTGTGAGTTTATTCATTTGTAGATTTTGTGAATTAAGGTTGACCATAAAGACTTAACGTCAGTATCTGAAAACTTCCTGCCATCAGTTCTTTTTTCTGAAATGGGTGGGATTCTTGGGTTTGCCTGTGATCAGTGAAACGGGTCTTCAGCAGAATGTGACTGACATCTGTGATTTCTCTCTGGCAACTATTAGGACCAGAGTGTAATGGAACACACGGGCACTGACTCAGGAACCACTAGTATTTTTGACGATGTAGACAAGAGTGATTTTAAGGCAGATTTTGGTTCAGAATTTCCAGTAGTTTTAACTTTGGATTCTCTGCATGCCTTTGATGCCTTCTGCTTGCTGTTGTCCCTGGGTGTCTCTCCGTGCCCCTGTCTCCACCTCTTCCTCCATCAGCAGCCGTGTCCCTTGGCACCCAGACCCCCCTGTGTCAGCTCCCCTGTGCTGCCCGTGCCCCCAGCACCAGCACCCTGCCCTCCCCATGGCCCCTCTGCTCCCAGCCCCCCAGGCTGCTCAGGAGTGCCTGGGTGCCACCCAGGCCTGGGTGAGTGTGCAGATTTGCAGATGTACCCACTTCTTTGACATTGACAGACCCCATGTGGATATCTTTTCCTTTTCAAGTGACTGTTCCATCTCTTGGCTCTGTCTTTCCAAATCTGCTTCCTCCTTTTTTTTTTTTTTTTTTTCTTTACTTTTTTTAACTTCCTCTTAGCCCAATTCTGCATTGCTCCTCAATTTCCTAGTTTCTTTTTTGGGCTGGTGCTTGTTCTGCATCTATGTGGACTCCTGTGCCCAGACCTATCCCTGCAGATCCATGTGCAGGGTGTTGGGGCCCCTGTTTCTGCCTGACATCGGTCTCTCTGGTGGTTCCAAGCACACCCGTGCCTGCCTGCAATGTCTCTTGTCACCTCCCACCTCGCCCTTCTCATTATTTTCCCTCAGTCAATGAATCCCAGTCCCTGTGTCACAGCAGCATAAGAAGCCTGGAGATTGCTCTGCACTGTAATACTTTTCTTCCTGACTGGATACTGCTCCTTTAAAACTTGTCTAATAACAATGGAGATGAGCACAGAGATGCAATGTGTAGATGTCTCTGAAATGTCAGGCTTGATTATGATTGCCCTTGCTTTGTCTATCTTTGAAAAACCTCAGGTGTTTAAAAAGTAACTGTAAGGAGGAATAAAGTGGTATCTTTATATGCAGTTGCTGAATTGCCAGAGCTAGTGGTTACACTTACCTTAAACGTTTGTTTTACATGACTCAGATGTTTTCTCCGATGCCTGGGGAGCCTTGTGAGAATGTGAACTCTTCTTTAGACAGAAGAACCTCAGTGGCCAGCGAGAAGTCAGCCAAGAGGGAAAGGCTGAGAGGAGTGATTTTCCCATCCAACTACGAGCTCCTTCGCCACTTGCAGTACGCGACACGTTTCCCCATCCCCCTGGTGAGTGCCCCGGGTGTGGGAAGGGCTGCCCCGTGGTGCAGCACAGCGTGCCAGGGAGGAGAGGCCTGGGGGAGGCTGGGCAGAGGGGCTGTGCCCGAGGGCTGCCAGGGCCCTGCTGTGCCACCCTAGGGCTTGGCTGGAGCAGCTCGGCAGCGCCGTGAGGGGCGGTGACCTGTGCCAGTACGGGGACGGGCACCCCGTGAACCCACTGGGCTCCAGGCTCTACAACAGTTTGCCAAATAGAAACTTTGGGTTGTAGTTGGCCAGATGGATGAATACCAAAATATCTGAAAGCAGCAGCTCAAAAATGTCAGGGGCAGGAGGGTGTTATTGCCTCCCACCCCCTCCTTGCTCTTTCTAGCGTGGGTGTTTGGCTGCTGTTTGACTCGTGGGAACTGAGAACACCCCATGAGTAACGTCCTCAATCCCAAACCCTCATTCAGGTGACTCTTCATGTCTTCTGCTGTGCTGGAAAAAGAGCCCCAGTAGAGAACAAGCCTTGGTGCAGAATGTGGCAACCTGAGATGACTTCCTTTTCTTTTAAACAGTAGTGATAACTTTTTAGCAACATTACATCTTGTCAATATAGGAAGTTTCACATGAGAGGATGATATGATAACCACGATTGTGTTTGCATTGCATTTCTTACTCCACAAATTTTGGGTTCTGATTTATTGCCAGTGAACTGCTGTGAGGATACTGAGTGAGCTGTATCTGTTCAGGACAGTTTTGAATGCCCCCTGCAAGTCTGGTTTGTGTTTTGCCTATTTTAAGGAATATGACTTGGTTCGGTTTAGTTCCTGAAATGCTTTTGATTTGCAGAGGGAATTAATACAGGTAGCTGGATTTTGCCTATGGAGATTGATTTTTAGAATTTTGGTTATTGACTCTTCTACATATGCATTATTTTATGAAGTATTTTTTATAAATAAAGCAGGCAAAGAGAACTAATTATCTTAATTTTACTATTTCCTTGAACTTTCTGTAATAACATGCTAACTTTTTTCGTACTGTTGGAAGCAGCAGCAAGGAAAGGCAATGGAACTTGGCAAAGACAAGACATTTATTTGTAAAGACTGCGGGTGTGCTGGAAGCAGATACAATAGTTTTTAGCCAGGGCAGCTTAAAATCACTTTTGGGAGTAAATAATGCCCTCTGAAATGCTTTAGCGGTAATTGTATCTGTGAAAACTTTGGAGCTTAGGTACTGCTATTAAGTAATTTCTTCACTTCATTGCACCAAGTTACTTAATGTAGTAAGTATACAGTATTTAACTTACAAAAGGTGAGTTCAGGTGTTTATCATAAATAATTCTAAGGTATGTTTGACTCTGTCTGAACATGTTGTATTCTTAAGTGTCGCTGATCCTTGGTAGGTCGTCGCTGGTACCCTGAGTTATTTCTGGAAGGCATTATCAAGTGTTCTGGGAGGTCAGGCCTACCACGTCCGTGAAGAACAAAGCAATGATATTTATTGTCCAAGTTGTTTCCTTCTGCTCGGGCTTGCTCAGCAGGGCCGTGGTGGCTGCAGCTGCAGCCCTGCGGGTTCCCACCCTTTCCCCTTCCCCTTTAGAATCGCTGCTTTTTGCATCTACTGCTCCCCCCTGCCTTGTGCCCCTTCGTCCCTGGAAGCCTTTCCCTCTTTGGGGGCTGCAAACGCCTCAGAAAACTTCAGTCGGAAGGATTTGGAGAGATGGTAGTAGAGGATGGGGTCGAAACAGAGGTTTGATACGGCAAAGAGCAGGGTGGATTCCTTGGCTTTGAAGAGAGCTTGTTTGAGAGGGCAGCTGGTGATGGTGTCGCTCTGGCTCAGGGTGTAGGGGATGCGGACGATGTGGTAGGGCACGAAGCACAGCAGGTAGGCTGCAGTCACCAGCAGGATGTTGGTCAGGCCTTTCTTCACGTTGGGGTAACGCTCCCTGTGTTTGTTCCGGCACAGCTGCCTGACTACGAGGAAATTGGAGATCAGGATCACAACTGAAAAGTTCAGGAATATTGCTGTGCATATGAAATTAGTGAACACGTGCCAGTCTCTTCCAAATTTAGTTTTGAAACTGATACATCCTGTACCAGGTCTTTCCTCAATCGTTTTTATTGGAATAGCCATGTTGGGCACTGTGATGAGGAGAATCAGCATCCACACGACTGCAGACAACATCTTGGCAAACCCAGGCTCCTGAATGCGGTAAATCTTGGAGCTGTACATTAGCTGAAGGCAACGATCCATGCTTACAAATCCCAAAAATATAATGGATAAATACATGTTTATGTAGATCAAACAGGCTGTAACCTGACAGTGGAATATTGTCAGTTTCCAGGGCGCAACTCCTAGGTCAACAACAATCTTTACTGGCAATGCCAAAGTCAACAAAAAATCCGCCGTTAAGAGGTTAATTAAATAGATGCTCATGCACTTCTGCTTCTCAGCTCTCCGTGTGAATGCCCATAATGCGAAACAGCTTCCAATAAATCCCATCAGAAAAATCAAGGAGTAGAAAAAGGTGAAAGGTTCCATCCCTTCACCGACAAGGCATTGTGAAACATTGCTTGGCATTGTAAGCCTCTTGTGCGAGGTGGTTTTGCTGCTAGGAGACAACAAGAGCCTACAGAAAGAACCAAGAAGTCATCAGTGGCACCAGCTTTTCCTGCACAACAGTGTCATGTTTGCTACTTCTTATTAACTTCATGGAAAGAAACGCAATAGGGAGGAAATATTTTTCTCTCTGTCTGTGCTGCTTCACAGAGATTTGAGGTCTTTGTTCTCGTCTCAGAAGTTTGGGAATGTACTGGGATTTGTTCCTTAAAAGTGTGTAAACTTGTGTTTGGTTCACACACCATCTCACCCCAACCAAGACATCAAAGAAAAAGTTTGAATTTGCTTAAGATTGAGCACCTGGTTAGTAATGGTCCTATTAAAACCTCATAATTTTTGAGCAATGGAAACTATGCCTTAAGAAAGGGTAACATTTGGAGCAGTCTTGTCCTGTAACAACACTTTGGGAGTTCTGCAGTGAATGCTCTGTCAGACCAGTACAGGACATGTCAGATAGATGAGCAAATGCCTCTGATCAGTCCTAAGTCTGCAAACTGCTCTCTTCCTGCTTAACAGAGGAGAAAGTAATCTCACACTTTTATGAAGCCTTTAGAAAAACCACAATCTTTTGAAAGAAGCAGCTATTAAATAATTTTCTCATTTCCTTCACTAGAAATGATAGGGAAGAAGAACATAAGATTTTAGGCTTTTTTTTTTTTAGCTGAATATACTACTCCCTGCCTGAGGAGCTGGTTTGTTTGTGTGCCACACTGTCACCTGCATGGAACGGCGGTGGGGAAGGAGGCACAGCCATTGGAATTTCTTGGAATGAAACCCAATACATTTGTATCTTGAACAACCGCGGCAGCTTTTTATTTCCTTCAACCCCTCCTAATTTTGACATGTAAGAGAACTACCGAACCGGCAGAGTTCTTTTCTGCTGGAGATGTGCATCCAGATGTGCATCCTCTGCAAACCAGGGTGACTGCGGGTCCTGCGTTTGGTGCGGGGCGGGGGGCAGAGCCGGTGGTCTCTGTGCTGCGGGGCCGGGCGGGGCAGTCGCAGCCCCCTCCCCCAGCCCCCCAGGGCCCTGAGCCCCCGGGGCAGCGCGGGCTGAGGGCAAAGCAAGGGCTGCCCCAGGGCCCGGACCTGCCGGTGCGTGTGCCAGGGCAGCGCTCCCGCCGGGCTGGTACCGCGGGCTGGCACGGACACGCAGGGTACAGCGCCTACCTGGCCCGGCGGTCTCTGGGGTCTTCTGAGCATCAGCCCGCGGGGTCTGGTGTCTCTGGGCGGCTGCTCGCGTGTTGATCTTTCCCTCCGGCTGCCTCTGCTGGCTTTTCAAAGCGTGTCTGTGGTTTTTAAATGTGCCGATTGACGCAGTTAAAACCGGCATTCAAACAGCTGAACTACGTGGAAGTTACCGAGAAGAGAGGTGGCAGAGACACGTACGTGTTCGGGGAACAGCCCCAGAGCCTTGTTTCCTCCCCCGGGGCGGGGTCCGTGTCCCGGCACC